AAACCTGTTGGGTGTAAGACCTCAAATTCCTGAATCATTTATTGATACCTATACAACGGACATGTTTCAGAGATAGAAGACTGATCGATGAGAAAGGTTTGTTTGGAAAATGAGCCTGAAGTGGATTCTTAAACCCAAGAATCAGTATCACTTTCTAGCAGCAGCATTAAAATTGCCATTAAGATTTTTATTCAAATATAGAAGTTGCCTGCTGTTGTTCACATTTCCTGTCAAGACATGCTTCCCACCCACATCATTTTAAGTCTTCTTTAAGCAACAGGATAATCCTTCTCTTAGCAAACTTTAACTCTGGAGCACATGCTGAGGTAAATCGTGGCTAGTGCTCTAGCTACCATTTTACAGGTTTTAAGAGAACGAGAGGCAGGAAGGCTTAGCTGTGCATCACTCCCCATATTGCTGCTCCACATTCCCCAGAGGTTATGTATTGCTGTAATGGCAGCTTTTTGCTAGCACTTTTCCTCATCAGAGCTGAAATCATAGTTGTTGGGTGTCTGATCATAACTTATGATACAGATGTATTGTATGTAAAAAGATTTTTACAGGTACAGTGCATTTGGGTACGGTCCTCAGCACATTCTTAAGCTTTTAATTTCTTCTTTTGCTAGTACACAACATGACTGCTGCATCACCATTGTGCGTGGGTCTGAGGTTGGTGTGTAGTTCTAAGGACAGACTGTGTGAACTAACTCCAACCTAGTACCCACACACAGAAACACACACACACCTGTAAATTATTTATAGCACCAGATGGGACAGAGAGCACCTGACAGCCAGCGGAATAAAGAATTCAGTGGTTATAAAGGCCCAAATGTTGATTTCTGTGCTGTTGTTCTTGTTGTTGTTTTTAAAATCCAGTAGAATCAATTGACCTAATGCTTTCTATCTGAGGAAAGCAGATCACTGGATTCCAGTGGCAGTTGTTTGAGTGAATCCATGTGTTCAGAAGTGGCCTTTCACTTCTCTTCCCTTGCCAGTGTGAGCTGGCTCCAGACACTGTCACTGCAAAGGTCAGTGTGTGTGTGTGTGTGTGTGTGTGTGTGTGTGCGCACATGTGTACATAAAATGACAAGAGTGATCTGTATAATGGGTTTAGTTGTTCCCAAAGCAGATGAAGGAGGCGATTAGGCCTAAAGGGGGCAGTGAATTTATTAGGTTTTCATTTCTGTGAGATCCATAATCCCAGTGGAAGTAAAAGCTTTATTAGCTCATGGATTTTTGCTGCCTGCCACCCTGTTTCACTGAAACAATATTATAGTGCTTTAAAGTAATGCTGAACTGAGTGCCTATCTTCTTCACAACTCCTCTTGTCAGGTACTGTAAAAGCATTACAACAACAATGGCAGCATTTGTTAGTGAAACCTCTTGCCATACCGGAGGAGCTATGTTTGCGCTAGCTGTTAGTTTGGAATAATTTTAGTGACTACTTAAGAATATGCTCTTTTTGTGAATGACTTTTTTGCTGTGCCACTGTGTTCAGCTGAGCACCCTTATGCCCACTTCACACATTTTGTTTTAACCTCTCAAGTCACAAATATAAACAGCAGGGGAAGCAAACTGAGAAAGAACGAATGCTAACACTATCGGGATTTCACAGCAGAAACTTAATATTGTGAGAAGTCTGTGTGGAGTTGACATAAGTGATCTGTGAACATTTGTTTCAGTTGCACCTAATCTAAGGCATTTAAGGGACTTGTCAAAGAATGGGCCTATGTCTAACTAATCATCAGAAAAATGCTGCATAGATAAAGCATGCAAACAAATTACAGCTTCACAAAAATGCACAGGAGACCAAACAGAATGAAAAGAAGCAAACCAAAGCATATGCATTGTTTCATATCAAAGTTTTCAACAGCAAAATTTTAGATCAGTTAATTCTAATCTTGACCATTAATGGATTCACTTGAGGTAAAGGCAATGTTTTTACACATACAGTGGTTTCAGTGACAATCATGCAGTTGCTGGCCCATTGTGGCCAAGATCTGAACCCTTCTCTTAAGCTCTTCTTATTCTTGACACACAGTGCTGCAGTCATGATGTACTGTATTGTTGTAGACCAACCTAGAAGTTACCATCCCTCTAGTCCCCTTGACAAAAAGCCAGCCAGGTTGTCCCTAGGCTAAGACTAATTTGGAAAATAAGCTCTGTCACAAACAACAGTTCATGACACTTGCATATTTTGTTCAGCAAGATAATCTTCACCAGTTAACACCACTTTTATGATTTTTAGAGCCCAAATACAACCACCAGATGCACAAAGCTATAAAGGAACTACACCATGGTCCCATTACTTCAGCATCACTACCAGGACTTCCAACTTGTAAAGTGATTTAGCACAAAATCCTTTTTCTCTTAGCATGACCTGATCTAGCTGGTGATCATGTTAGTTATAATAGTTTGCAAGTGCACATGTTTAAACATAACGACACTGTGAAGGCAGAGTAGTGAGTAGATGAGTCGCCATGTTTGGCCTGATGATGTGCGATATCCCAGTCTCAGTTAGCTGCTTGTTAGCAAGTGCCTTTTTAAGACATGTAAAAGCATTAAAAATTGTGTGTGGGATATTTAATGGTGCATTTTATATTGTAAGAATGCACGATGGTAGCTGAGCGTGAAAAATCAATGTAGAACTGCAAGACCATGAGCAACTTCAAGAGGGTTAATGTACCAATATTGAGCTCCGTGTCAGTTTCACCCTGACACAGTCACATTTTGATTTTCAGCAAGATTCTTCCCCATGTTCTTCAGATACATGCATTATTAAGTTCTGAAGCTGTCCTCTGATCCACTCATCCATTCCTCACTCTTGAAATTTCATAGAAGAAGCTTGCAACCACCTTTTGAAAATACAATTTCCAGTGGCTCATTTAAAACAGCTGGGCCCAGTCCCCGTGAAGCACTATGATTAAAGGGAAGTGCAACAGTTTTTCTCCTTTTAGTGTCAATTGCCTGTACACTTTGTATGGAACTGAGATTATGGGTGTGCTGCATGCAGGTGTAGTTATTATTGCTGTCCTAAAAATGCTCCTGGATATCACAGACCAGCCCTTGTTGTTAAATCTGGTAAATCGTGAAAAGTATAACAGTAGTACATAGTCAGAAATGGTAGTATAAAACAAACGTGGTTTTTGAATTAAACATGTAGCTTTTCCATCTTTCATCCAGAAAATATTTGAGATTATAAATTTACACGTCCACAACTGCACTATATCAGACCAGTTAGTGAGTGTGTAGCAAAGTATGATTTACATAGCACATTTTGATGCTTTAAACAACAACAAAAAAAAAAAGACAGAGGAAAAGGGGGTTTCCTGAACATATTTCATAACAGTTTTCAACTGCTGACATCACAGTCAGCCTATACATGTAGTATTTGGGTGTGTGTATGTGTGGGTGTGTGTGTGTGTGTGTGTGTGTGTATACACACAAGTGACATAGAGAGAAATGTGTATTTGAGGATTCCATAAACAGGAGGAGCATTTCGACTATATTTTTTCCAGTCTGCAGTCATTCAGGTTTAACAGGCGCTGTGATCCTTTTCCTTCACCCCCATGCTCATGCTCTTCTGAGTCAACCTCTCAAAGATAGAGGAAAATGGGGCAGGGCATGGCGTCTTTCAGCTATACTACTATCTCTATTACAGTCTGCAGTCCATAGCATTTCTGTTGTTAGCGCAGTTTCTCTACCTTGTGCTGCCTAATTTACTTGTTAGTTAGCCAATAGCAGCAATTTAGTTTAGTAGTAATAGTAGCATTTTGTACAGTTTGTCATTCACCAGACATCTGTAGTTTATGTCATCACTAGAAAACAGGATGGAGGGGCAGAGAGCGGTTAGGAGCAGCTTATGGAGTCGGTTATAGAGGCTGAAAAGAAATCAAGTGTAGTAGCTTTAAATTAAAAATGTAATGTTTCTTAATACTTATTTATTGTAGGTTCAATTTCTGGATTTTAATTGAAAACATTATTTTATCATTTGAGTTGCTTTTAGATGCCTTCAGTCCCCTTAGTGTTCATACTATCTCTACTTTATACTGTTTTGGTGATGGAACTTTTTTTAAAATTCATAAATCATGTAATTAGTTACAGAAACACCGAAACACAACATATGATAAATCTGAACTATGGCCAGGCCCTACCTTTGAGCAGCTGGATGTTACTAACCAAGCACATGGTTCTCTGAATGAAATAAATATTCTAAACAAAGATAACCAGAATAATCTTAAAAGCCCCCTGATTTTCATCAGACCAACCAATCCCTTTTTTAAAAATTAGGCCTAGTATTTAGGCTTTGTTTAGAATAATGTTATGTCCAGCCATACGTGTGGCAGCAAACTCTCTCTGACTACATTTCAGCGTCTACGCACCACGGATTGATGATTGTGACAGATGTAACTTTTTCAAGATATGTTTGTTTTCCTTTTAGAAAAGTGATGTGAGAGAGAGATGCACATTATTTTTTTCTGTACTGAAAACTGATCATTTTAAAGTTTTTGTTTTGTGTAAAGACAGCAGTGACTCTTCCCTTGTTTGTGTTACTGCAAGTAAATAATTGTCATGTATTTGGGTCAGTGGGGAAATCTTGGTCCATTAAATGACCAAGGTGAGTGCACACACATATATACGAGTGCACAGCTGCACACAAACTGTGTTGCTGTCACGTGTGTGTCAGGGGGTATGTGTTAATAGCTTTGGGTTGCTATGAGGATTTGGGTTTGTGTTACATTATCGCCTGCCTGTTCATGGTGATACTGTCAGGACTCTGCATCTCTAGAGACACAGCACAGTGTTTGCAGGCATAATGAGATGGAGACGTGTTAAGAACTCAGTACACACTTTAATACTGTAACACCATGTGTTTGGCTAAACGTTGTGAAACGTGGCTTGTGGACCAGTGGATATTGTCTTGATCTGTGGCTACATATTGTGTGTCTTATCTGCAGTGATCCTCTTCTTACATTGTCCCTCTCTCTTCTGCTCTCCAGGGAGCAGCCGATCTACACCACCAGGGCCCATGTCTTCCAAATCGATCCAACCACCAAGAAGAACTGGGTTCCTGCCAGCAAGCAAGCTGTCACCGTCTCCTATTTTTTCGACAGCACACGTAACAGCTACCGCATTATCAGCGTGGATGGAACCAAGGTGTGTGTGTGTGTGTGTGTGTGCGCGCATCGATATCAGGAAAAAAAACATTAACCTCTCTCACAAGAAGTTGAGGCTGAGGAAGAGCAATCAAAACATTGTCAAGAATATTAATGATACATTGGCTGTTCCCATCTTTGATCAGTATCAACCTGATATGAGACCATTTAATATTTCTTGTGCTGCTCTGTTTCTGAAGTCATGAAGGTCATCTTTGCCTTCCTGTGTTCCTTTTTTCTGCAGTCTTGGTAAAATATACAAAATGGTTCTCAATCAGGACAAAAGTACACAAAATCACATCTAAAATAATGGTCGACACTGTTTCTCCCTGTTTATTTATAAGCAAGATATTGTAACATAGGCTGAATGAAGAAGTAAGCGGGAGACAGAATTTGCCTTTCTGTGCGCAACTGTGTGCCCCATACACCACATGACCCTACAGCTCCGCCACATGCTGAAGCCCATCAGACCCTTTAGTCACGGTGCTGTGCTCCAGCTAACTGGTCCCGCCCCATAACAGAACATGAACAGAACATTAACCCACAGTCTCTGCCCCAGCAGGGCATGCTGGGGGACTCCGCCAAGCGCTGCTCCACCCTGACACTACAATATAAACATTTAATAAAAAATAGCTTGTAATACACTGTGTACACTCTAGTGATGAGCAGATAATAGTGTATAATTCTGTGTTTATTTGAGTGGTAGAGTAATAATAGTGCATCACCTTGGTATATGCCACACTTGATGGTCACTTGTGCGATTGATGAAGGTCCTGATGTCCCGTTGTCTTTGTATAGTGCCAGGCATTCCCAGATCCATGTGTGTGGCACTGAGCTGTTTGCACACAGCGATCCATGTCTGTGCTGACATGGCATCTACTGCATAGCTAAATTACCCCCTTGTAAGATGGACACAGGTTTATTCAAAGCTTAAAAATGTGTTAATAGTTCAGCACAGGAAAGAAGAATAAGAGTTCTCAAAGTTTGAAATCAGTCTGAACAGTAGCTAACATCCTCTCTAAAAACGTAACAGAAGCCATGAGCTGCATACCTGCTGAATTGTTATTAAACTAAATTGTGTAATTTACTGTCATCAACCAACAGCCACCAGGATTTAAACTTCAAGGTCTATTGAGCTTTTATCAGTCACACACTGGATCAGCTTTTCTTCTTTCCAGTCAAATCCATCTGGACTGATTTCTGACCTGGTCTTCTGTGTGTTAACGAACAAGGACTTGCTTGGTTATAAAGTGCACACTGTGTATAGAGACATTTCATATTAGGGCAAGGTATAAAAGAGGCTTATTTACAGAATGATTTATGATTTATCATCACAAGAACATGTTGTTGAGGTTAAATCATGCATGCGATAAAGGACACTATATGAGTGTGCCTATATTCCATATTCACACCCTCTTCTTGGCTAAGAGAAAGAGTAGATTGTGTTTCCATGGCAATTGCAGCCTTGGTTCTGTGTGAAAACTGGAGGAGAGTTATGACGGCACTATCCCTCTGCAGACACTGTCAGGCAATCACCTTTAGCAAACTCTTAAATTACACAGATTTCCTGAAGAGCCACTTTAAAGACCGAATGGGTTGACAGTTGTTTGGATCTGTTTTTGTCCAAATTGGTGGTCCTTTTACCATGCAGTCCGTCTGATAGCTTGGTTGTGTCCAACCTTAACAAAGTCTGCCATCCATGATCTATACAGCACAATAATACTCTGGATAAAGGGCCTGTGGAGTTCAGTACTAAGACCACCAGGCCAACAGTTTAGGGGGTATCTCACACAGGAACTCACACTTAGCTGGCAGTTTGTTTTAACAACAACACTAATACAGGTGAATAGAACAGTCCTGCAATAAGTCCTCCTTCATAAAGGTGGACATGTTCGGTTTTTGTTCAAACTGTTTTAGAGAGGCGTTGATTTAGCTGTACGGCCGTTTTGAAAGATGTTGTTTGTGGCGCTGTTACACAGTACAAATTATACAGAGGGCTGTTTCAATTGTTTAGCCTACCTTTATTAATATAAATGGTGTGAGAAAAGTCATAGAAACACCTGCTAGTATAATGCAATACATGCAGTTGAATCAACACCTTTCTAAAACAGTTTGAATAAAAACTGAATGTTCTCACCTTCACGAGGGGAGGATTTATTGCCGGAATGTTGCATGGACTGTGTTAGTTTAACCAGATGTACCTATACACGGCCAACTGAGTGCACCTGAATGTAGACGGTGAGAATTCTCTGCTATTGCTGTTTTCTTTATTGAAAAAATAGACTGGAATTGGCCTACTACTCTCTCTGCCATCCTACTTGTGCCACTCTTTGTCCTTCTATCTCTGCTCTCCTGTAACCTTGAGTAACAGAGCAGTATGTGTCATAAAATGCCTGCAGGCATCAGATGTACAGTATGTCAGGTGTGAGGATATAACTTTATGGATCACTATTTCAATTTAGAGAGGACTCCTGCTGATTTTAACTTGATCCATGTTTCTAGTTAATTTAAGTGAGTCAAAGTGATGTGAGCAAAGTAACCAGAAGCGAGGATGTGTTGAGTCATATCAAGTAAGTGTTGAATACAGTTTCTAGTCTGTACACTAGCTGTGAGGGAGAGAGGCCCGTCTAGAACAGTAGTCTGTGCTGCTATGTATATACATGAACTACGACAGACGATCGGCCTATATTCATCCGTCCATTGGCCAAGCAATGTGCTGCTGATGATACAGCAAGTAGAGGAGCACATCAGCACTTCTGACTCTTGCTCACCCAGAGTCGTGTTTCTGTGCCAGGCACTGTGACAACACAATGAAGCATTTTCTTGGGGTACGTTATGAATTATTCAAAGTGGGATAACATATGGAAAAAACTGAAATATTTATATATTTTCTTCTTACCTAATTTTCCTCTTGCATCCTGCAGCATCTTAAACTACCCATGTCTTAAATTTCTTACAACTATTCTCAGAGCCAGTGTCTAAAATTAAGGTTTTGTAACATGCTGTTGGCAGGTGAGTAAAAAAAGATGTTTCTGCCAAGAATAATAATTCAAATCCCTCTGAGCTTGTTAAATAGAATTGTAGCTGTAGGTTTGTTTTAACTCGTTTAATGTATATGCCAATATCAAAACCTACAGCCATGTTTTCTGTGTTATCACCCCTTCTCCTCTGTAAAACTGTTGCAGCACCCCAAGTACACCACTGTGTGTAGCTTCACTACTTGTTTACATCATTTTGTTTCAATCAAGAAAAATCATAAATTTCACTGGAAATGGGTCTGGACACGTACACTCCACCCTTACTATCACTGTCCCTGCACCCCAGACATGCACTTTTAAATTGGAAATTACTAATATCAAGCTAGTTTGGGGACACGATTGATAACCCAGTCATTATAATGGGACAATGCACTGGGTTGATACAAGTCCCAAAACAATTAACCATTAGGATTATACTTGCACCAAAGCTGGGATGAGCTGCAGAGAAGCTCCAATATCAGGAAATTCAATATTGTAAACATCAGTGTTTGTCATTAAAAACAAACTGGGACAGCAAATAATAAATGCAGATCATGCCTCAGATGATATTTGTTTTTTGTTTTTATTAACTTCTTCCAATGAAAAGGCTACTATTTATTAGCTGAATGTCAGGACTGGAGGCTGTGAGGCAGTAGCATAATTCCAGGCTTAGAAACTAAATTTCCTGTATGTATTGTGACCAAAATTGCAAATACATTGTCGGTTCAGTCTCAAGCTGGAATTATACTTCGGTGAGGATACTGTATATGTAAAGGTCTGCAATAAGGGTTTGCAAAAGGCTGCAGCGAGTAACTGTAGATAGCAGAGGAGCTGACCTGCTAACTTTCAGACCTTGACATTATATTGTGGAGTAAGCTGCGTTAGCCCCACCTCCACCCTTTGCAAACCAAACTTGCGTCACTGTCACCAGGGAACAGTGTGCTGTTTTTGCAGTCTTAAATATATGGTGTGATGAAATGCATCAGGTAATTAAAGTGGTAAAAAAATATTTAACATTTCTTCATGCACCTCACACCTCTGCCTGATGATTAATCATGATACATTTACATTTTGGTGTCTAGTTTGAGTGGACATGGCAACCATCATCTCACCTCTCTTTGGCTGTGTTTCAGTTATCACGCTTCTGCCTCCTGTTCATCTTCACGGCTATCCTCGATGGCCAGTTTTTATAATTATATTGATATATATTCTTCTAAAACTACAGTAGACTTTGTGCCGTACATTCAGCTGGAACTCGCTTAAGTTTGCAATTGCTGACCACAGTACAATAATGAGATACTAAAATGTAATATAGACCCATTTAGTTTTTTAAAATGGAAAAAGGCCCTTTATGATATGTGCATTTCACTCATGTTAGCCTAGGGTTTGGGCTCGCTAGATAACCAGGTCATTTAACTTATCACCTTTAAAATCCTCCCACTCTGTGCAGCAGGTGTTCTTTTTTTCCACCTATGATAAAACCTTTTGGCATGTTACATCCGCCATCTTTCTTACTGACTCCACAGACACATAATCAGCCGAGGAAGGTTTCTCCGTTAGCCTCCTGGCTGTCTCGGAATTTCTAACTGACCCTCAGGCCGTTGCCCAGTCAAACTTCACTGTGGCTCCTGTGCCACTAGATCCTCGGCACCAGCACAGCTGCCAGCGTCACTCCGCTCTCTTTTCCTCTGTCGCACCCTCCCACTCTCACTTGGTCGGTCACTGAGTTGGACACCCAGACATACCAGCACATATTTACAGGGCCACAAAGATGGGACAACCTCGTCGTCCTGTGCTTTTAAAGTGGAGTTTGGGTGAATCACTATAGATTGGGAACATTATTGTATATCCATCCATCATGAGAGTGCACTGAACTGATAAAGTAACAGGCCATTTCCCTGAAAAAAGGACATATAGTTTAGTCTATGATTAGACAATTATACCAAAAAGGTGAGGTCAATGAAAAACATAGTTTCAATTAAAAATCTTAAATCACAGCAATAGTGGGCAACAAGACACAAGGCCTCTCACAGGCAGACATGTCACAGCAGACAGGTGCTTCCATATGTGCTTTTCAAGCAATGCAATGGAAACTGAAAGCAGCAGGTGAAAGGCACATTGGAATTGGAAAATGTCCAGAAGCACCACCAGCTCAGAACTGTCAAACTAGAGGGGTCCTGGCACATCCATTTACAGTCTGAACAGGTCTATATGGAAAACGTTCACCAAAAAAGCCACTTCTGTGATGTGGAACCAAAGTCAAACAACTCACCTGTGGATGGAAACCCAAGGGTGCAGAAAGATGTCAGCAGGTGCTCTGAACTGATGGGTCAAGTTTAGACATATTTGGCTCTAACAGTAATAATTTCTACAGTGATTAGTGTCTGCAGACAACAGTGAAGCATTGTGGAGGTTCCTTGCAAGTTGGGGCTGGAGTTATGAGGGGTTGGTCAAAATTAGGTGTTTCCCCAAAGCTGACAAGTACAGGCAGAATTCTAATCCCTCACACAATTCCATTGATTAATTCACTTCCCTTTTCCAGCTCTATATCAATTTAAATTGATTAAAGTTTCATTTATCTTAACGCATTTCCTTGAGCCAGCACAATAAGCTCTGTTAAATATTGTCTCAGGCTGCTTGAGAAGGGACATTTAAGCGTTGTTCAGTCTTTGCCCAGGTTGCTCTTCAGGGAAAATGAGGTCACCTTTGTTTGAATGAAGCCTCTGGGGAAAAATAAAGGCTTTACCAAGCTGCTGGTTATTTGATTTTTAAAGTGCTGCTCTCTTTATAAACCCTTGATGTGGGAATGCAGCTTGAATCAGAGGCTGCTAATGTAATATTTACAGTATTTGATTTTGATAAAGGATTTGGGGTGTGTGTGTGTGTGTGTGTGTGTGCATGTGCAGTGATCTCTCTCTATGGGCATGTCTAAAAAGGCTATTAATTGCATGCTAATGTTAGCTGTTCTCTTAGCTCACTGGCTCCCTTTTTGGGTCTGTGCGTCCAGTGATGATGCAGTGTCAAGTGTTTTAACACAATCTCTGAAACGATGGAGGGGGAGACTTAGGGAGTGGAGAAAAGGACACAAATCTCTCAGCAATTTGAAATCTTGAATCCTTGTGTTCAGAGCGATGTTGCTATGAAACAAGGGCTGCACTGTGATTAAACCGTCTTCTACTGTTCCTTAATTGTTGGTAATTTGTATGTGCTGTTTTCAAGTTCTCTCTTATCTTGGTGGTGAGAACCTGTTCATCTAGATGTTCAGATAGGTTTAGACATGTCTAAATTTACAGCAGTGGCAACACAATAAACCCACAAATCAGCACAGTCCTGTCAGGCTCAAATTCTGTTTTAAGCATCTATGGGTTCCTACGGTCACTGTTTGTACACAGTTTTAAGACTGCAGTAGATGTTTGCTGGTCACTTTACTGCATAGATACAGTAGGAGCATGGTACACATGCACCTACAATGCCAAATATGGGGATGATATACTGTATGTATCATTTAGAGGTTAGGTGATCGGCACCATGGCATAGTGTGTGTCCGTTTGTGTGTGACTGTTTTATTAATTTATACATGTTTTGGGACCAATTAGTTCTTTTTAAATAGTGGAATCAATTGACTGGTACAAATAATTTAAACAATTATTTGAGCACAATTTTAGTCTGACCAGACAAAACAAATGCATACATGTGCAGCCCCATACAGTATACTTGTCCCCACCTTCACTGTCATTGTCTCTGACTCTTTGCCATCATCCTACTTCATGAGTTTACATTTCATTTAGTTGCATTTAAAAAAATTAATTTTCCCTTTGTATAAAGGATATGCGTTTTTTTTTTGTTTTTTGTTTTTTTGCATAAAACTGTTGTGATATGTGACATTGTGGAGGGTTTAATTGCTTTGTAGTGTAGAGCCTCTTAAGCATGAACATGTTTTTATGAAGTGGCTCATTCCAGCAAATGATCAAACTGATCACTGTGGGCACAGTGACAGACATGGGGGGTATATTACTGATTTGCTCCTGTATGAATGGAGCTGTAACAGGGGATTGCCCTTTGCTAAATCAATAGGAGAACTGACTGTGAATGCAGCTGCCGGAGCTCCTCTAAGCTGTCTCAGTTGACCCAGCGCTGACTACACTGACCAGTATGACAGGGCTTAGAGAATAATGTTAACTTGTTTTTATCCCAACAGGTCATCATCAACAGTACCATCACACCCAACATGACGTTCACCAAGACATCGCAGAAGTTTGGCCAGTGGGCAGACAGCAGAGCCAACACTGTGTTTGGACTGGGCTTTGCTTCAGAGCAGCAACTGGCCAAGGTGGAGCTTTTCTGCAGCATCACAAAAAGTTGCAAAAGCCTTTGTAAAGATGAGACATTCCATATTTGTATTTGTCTTAAAACTTGAGTGTGACTGCGCAACATGTTGTTAACTGAACATCAAATGGGGATCTGAAGCAAATCCAAGGACATGCCAGATGTCCTCACTATCAGTGTTGAGCCAGTTATTTCCTTGATAATCTTAAGAACATTTTGATGAGTCACACTTTGTATAATATTTCAGCTTGTATTGCTGCTAATCATCACAGCTCTTTCACATATCTCTCATATTTTCAGTTTGCTGACAAGTTCCAGGAGGTGAAAGAAGCAGCCAAGCTAGCAAGGGACAAGTCTCATGAGAAGGGGGAGACGATGAGTAATCACTCCCAGGTAACTTGTAACTCTGCTGTCTGAAATTCAAGTTCAGTACAACACCCTGGTGTCCACTTTCCTATGTCGTGTTCATCTACAGACAAAATTAGCACTGCAGAGATAATAATAAATCAGGTTTCAGTACATATAAACGCACTAAAAATCATTCTTGTAATGTGAATCTTGTCATACACAAGAGGCCAAAGGTCATCCTAAGATACATACTATTGTACCTGACAGGCGCTGCAAATCAGTAAAGGTTTCTCAGTTCCACACAAGATATTACAAATTAGTAATTCTGTCAGTAAGTAAAGAGCACTGATTTCAAGATAAATCCATCCTAAGTCACCGGCTGCCAGGCCTCCTCTCTGCTTGCACTGGGGTAGATGGCAGGAGTCGGACTCTGCTCTTAGGCACACAACGCTGTTGAGACATGACAAATACTGGCAACAATTTTTTCCTCACCCCTCTGCTGTCATAGTGGATGTGTCGAGGGTATGTACAGTGCTTCACCCAAATTAGTTCAGGCCTCTTTGTCACAGCGACAGGCCGGAACCCATCAAACCTTTAGAAAGATGCATGTAAGCATCAATTGAATATTTCCCTGAACTCTAACAAGTCTCCTTCTGTGCCCTATAAGGAGTCTGGACGTGAGACACCCTCAACCAACCAGGCGTCCAGCTTTAACGGGACAGATGATGAGAAAATCTGTCACGTCGTTCCGGAGGCTACCGTGCTGAAAAGTGAGAACGAACGCCTCAAGAGTGCGGCAGAACATAGGTGAGGTTTAATTTCATGGAAACATCTTTAATGTGACATGCATGTTAATTTAATCTTTAATATGTTTCTCCCTTCCTGATTAAATCACTGATCAGTCTTCCCTTTTATGTCTATTCCATATCAGTATCAATGTATGCAATACTTAAATCTATAAACTTTTTTTTTCTTGTGTTCTCATTATCTCGGCACCAAGATGTGCTCAAATGTTCTCCCTTTTCATTTAAATGCTGTCAAGATGATGATTTGTCCCCAACAAGCTCACAAATCCTCTGATCCAATCCAAAAAGCGTTTTTCTATTCCACCATTTGGTTATCTGGCCTTTATAATCCAGATGTACGAGTATAAATTGATAATTGTGTGAAACACCAGATGTAGCTCCAGATGGGATTAAAATGACCACAGGACATCAGAGTCAACTTAAAACTACAGTAAGTGAATTTAGCCAGAATTAGAACTGGGTAGCAATGGAAAAAAGTTTGTCCCATCTGGATTAAATGACAAATCTGGGGGGGAAATCTTTTTTTTTTCCCCTTGAAAGTAACTGAGATATAATCATACTGATATGTAATTGCTAGTGTGACCCAGTGAGTCATTTAGCCAGTACACTGCACATATACATTAGTCTACAGAAAATACAAAATTCAACACATATTGAGGTTTCCACTAAGAAATGGAGAATGAATTTAATAGTTACTTATATATCTTATTTTGTATTCTGCTAAAACCTAATTGAATTTCTTAATATTTAATTGGTGGTTAGCGCTGTTGCCTCACAGCGAGAAGGTTCCAGGTTCGGGCCCCACCTGGGACCTTTCTGTGTGGAGTTTGCATGTTCTCCCTGTGCTTGCGTGGGTTCTCTCCGGGTACTCCGGCTTCCTCCCACAGTCCAAAGACATGCAGCTTAGGTTGATTGGTGGCCCCCGCCCCCCCCCCCCCGTGACCCCGCTCAGGGACCAAACGGTAGAAAATGAATGAATGAATGAATGAATGATTATTTAATTAAATGATTTTTCTCAATGTCTAATCTGATGATTTAAAAAAAATTATTTTCTGTTCCTATCCAGCCTTTCTTACATCTTTTTGATTGGCGAAAGTTCACTTTACTACAAATGTATGAATATAGTTGCAAAATAACTTAAAACAAAGCCTACTAACTGTATTTTATGAATTATTTCAATTCATCCTTTAACATCGGTTTCCCTGGAAGTTAGAAATTAGATGTTTTAGATGTTCCACTCAATGGAGCTGTATCTTAGGGCCAAATTAGACAATTCTTTCCAGGAAACATCCCAGGAAAGTACAGACCTGTAAAATAAAACTGTGTTTAAAACATTGATCCTACAGTCATTCTGTGACCAAAACACTGTTGTTGAAGGAAAGACAGCATGTCAAGCTTTTGTGTTCGATTTCTGTAGGCTATAGCTGTAAAACATAGAGTTGTTCCCTGTCTTTGGTGGCCCCTTTTTCATGCTTTCATAAGACTTCTGGGATTGTTTTTTTTTGTGTGTGTGTGTGTGCAAGTGTGTCACAGCAGTGAAACTGCAGAGGACTGCAGAACGCTGCAGTGCAAGTCTGTCCACACTTGATGGAGAGTAACACACTTCAACCCAGTATAAGTAAGGAAACAGTGGTGCATACTAAATATACATCACAACCTCTGCAGCCTTATTGATAAGACAGAAACAAACAGGATGAACAAACTGTTGATGCTGACCTGGGTGGCAGCTCAGCAGACCTTTCACACTTTCCCCACTTATTTCATCTGATGACAGTGTGATGTGCATCACAGCTAATTATTTATGACTGGAAGGATTTTGTAGTGCTGTGTGTCATGTCTGTGGGCACAAGCAAGGCATTTCAACATGAACCTGTCTAAATTTTCCTTCTATTAATAACTCTCTTTCTGGATCTCTCTCTGTCTCTCCTGTCTGACAGTAACACTAACACCAAGAAGTGGGAAACAGAACTGCAGACTTTAAGAGAAAATAATGCCAGGCTGGTGGATGCGCTGCAGGAGTCTTCAGCCAATGTGGAGAGCTGGAAAAAGCAACTTAGTGCCTGCAAGGAAGAGAGTGACATGCTCAGGGGAAAGGTAATACAGTCATGCACTCCTATAGGGAAGTTAAATAATGTACACAAACCCTTCAGTCCCGCTGGAGGGAAAGGTAACAGGTTAGAAAAAAAAGAACAAATCTGCACCACAAACTGTCTTACAGTAGATTTTATTTTGCATGTTTGTTGGGATGAGTGAATCTGTCACAAACCTGTAACACATTTTATTAGCTTTTGTGTTCCCTGCACCAGCTCCAAGTCCTGTATAAATAGAATCATTTTAGTTTCTTAACCAATGTGGGCTGTTACAGCAGCTGGGCTGGTGTTGAAATGATACTCGTCATTTTGGAACATGCTGCCAGTGTTTTCTAAATGCTAGTGTCAGTTTTTAAGATGACCCCACTTAATACAGCATATCCAGGACAACACCTGCGCATGAACACATGTATGATGAATAAACAAAATGGGAATAAGTTCTAAAACGCCACTGTCACACTGACACTTTTTTAAGAAAGTAAATGGCAACTCTCTTCCTGTTTCTTTGTGTGCTTAAGATTGCTGAACTAGAAGCCCAGTGTAATGAAGTCAATCAGGACAAGCAGAGAAACACCCAGCTGAGAGTACGAGTGCAGGAGCTGGAGGCTGAGCTACAGGATAAAGAGCAGGTGAGTCCTGAAACAGCTGGGCCAGTCTCAAGAGCTGGGTAGTTTTTAAAACAATGCAGAGTGGTATGTTTCATAGAAACCTCATCATTTCAACATGAGAAGAAATCAGTTTAACATTAGCTCTCCTCCCTTACATTCCAAATTGTATGTTGTCTTGCTCATTCCTATATTTCAGTGCGTCTCTTCACTGTACACCAGCTCTGGGACTATTGGTCTTACTCAGTATCACTCCTCTCCCTCAGGAAGTGATTTTCTTCTGTAGGAAATGATAGGTTTTGTTCTGGGATTTTGTATGGATCGATCTTATTTTCGCAGGCGCAGCTAAACTCAAACCTTTTAATAATGCCCATGGTTGTTTTTCCTCCCCTTCTCAATTTACTGTTATCTTTCATTTTGTGCTACTTTTGTTTCAGTAATTTGCTTGATGTTTGTCTAGCTTTGCTACCATTGAGCTGCACTGTGAAAATAGCTGCTATAAATGAATGTAAATGAATCCACTGACTTTGTCTCTAGTCCAAGCAGCAGGGAATTTTGGCACAAATACCATTAGTGGCATTCCCTTATGTCCACTGCATCAGTCATCCATAATCCAAACTAGCTGACTGTCAGCCAAGCAGGGCCTAGTGGTGCTGTTATTTATAATGACGATGAGCCCCGCACGGCCACACAATCTTTGACCTTTGCTTGTTGCTGTTTAAATGCAGTTTCTGTCTGCAGACAAATGACCAAATGATTAGGACTCATTTCTGGCAATGTATGAAGAGACTTAGCTGCCTTTTTCCATAGTGGCAATGTCTCCCCCCCATCAACCACGGAGCCGCACTGCTTTTTGTCAGGTCACCAACCTCAGGACTGCAGCAGGTCGAGCTTTATACTGTTTTGAGTCTGTCACATAAAGATAAAGAAAATGTGCACATTTTACTAAAGTTCAAGGTGACATCTTCATCAGAGCTTTACAGGAAGATTAGTTTCAATTATGGTCAATTGTAATAACTTTCATGATTATTGACCAACAGTACAGTTACTACAAATTTACTGTGATGCAAGACGAGATAATGCTGCGTATTCCCCCATTTGAGAACCTGGAACCTTGAAATGTTTGGCCTTTTTCCTTGGGGGAAAAAATGACTTCATTCATTATTGATAACTGCCAATTTATTTCCTGTTGATCTACTAATCTTTGAGGCTCTACACTTCATATCGCTTGTTAGTCTGATCAACAAATTGGAACTCAGATGTACAGCCATACTGAAACGGTACATCGACACAGAATCAGGGATAAGAAAACAATACCTTTGCTTGATAAATGACTTCATTGATCCTCAGATGTGTTGATCGATTTTATGTTGATCACATAAATTATTCAACCAGCTGCTTAGTTTGAACGTACTGGTACTTACTATAGTGTTTTAAAATAATGACATTTATGGCTGAGCTGTGTGGAGACTCAAACCACGTGGTATGTGTGGGATATTCTAGTTTACCCCCTAGGTATTAATAGAACATATACATCTTTTCTTTGAGAGCTGTATATCTTACAGCACAACATGAAGGAAGTAGTTCAAAGAGCTTTAGCTGATTTGGAAAGCCTATTGGCAAAGGATGGTATCCTCTGGGGGCTGTAGCATTTCCACAGTCCTGTGTATCAGCCCTAATGCTCCTGCAGAAGGAAATCACATTGTTTGCAGTGCACTGATAGAGCAGACAGCCCACAGAGACTCATCTGCTGAGTGACTCACCCCCTTCTAGAAATGCCTACGCTCAGCTACTCCAATTAAAAATGTGCCTATGAATCCTTAAGCACTGACCCCATTGCTGCCCAGCCATGAACTAACAGAACAAAGCTACTGCAGGTGACTACACGGACTCGACCTGCTATTCCTCGGCGTGGACGTGGTGGCATGAGAAACTGTCTGTGGTGTATTTGGCTTAAACCAGTGGGTGGATAAGATTTTTCAGAGCAATAAGAAATGTTTAGTTGAGGTGAAAGCAAACATGTAAGCACACAACAGAAAAACACAATCATGGCTTCATATGTGTGTTTGTGCTGGGTAAGTGCTGGCTATTAAACTTCTTACTTTTTCTGTACTGCCTCAAATGTGTCTATCAAAAACAGAGATGTCAAGCTGTCAGAGAGAGCACATGATTCTTCTTTACATGTTTTTTGATTAGACAGTTTATTATTTCAATCTGAGTCAGATATGATTTGTTTGCTTTTTGATTCACTGGTTTCTGAATTTTTCTTCCAGGAGCTGGAGAACCTGAGGAAGCAGGCAGAGATAATCCCTCAGCTCATGGCGGAGTGTGATGGCATCACTACAAAATTGCAGGTACATTCAAAGCACCCAACATTTCACTCATGTGATTTACAGGCGCGTATAAAGGCACAGCAGAGAGCTGTACAGTTCTTGAGTTTGCAGCACATGTGAGGACACAGTGGTTGCCGTGGCGAGGTGACACACAGGCTCTGAGGTATAAGCAGACAGAGATGGAGAATAAGAGTTCCTATTCATCATTCTGCCTGAGGGCTGGTTACACAACATTCCTGCCACGTGTCTCACTAACACACACTAGTTACTCTATCTATTAATAAAGGCCCAACTCTGAGTGGATTATCGCCTCTTTGAAAGGTTCTCTCTTTCTAGTCTGTGAAACAGAGATGCTACATCTCTGTCATGGCTTATTTGTGTCGTACAGTGCAGATATGATCTCTTTTGCTGACTACAGACACAGCTGAAGTCATTTGAGAGCTCTGCCGAGAGCTTCAGTGGCCAAGTCTTATGACGTTTCTGTAAGCACACGAGTTGTGTTTGTAAGGTTTTGGGTGTGAGAGTCTGCTGTTGCCAAAAACCCTGGAACAGTGCAAACTCACACCCATCACCTCCTGTATTCCTCGTAACAAAGAGCACCTGTTTTACAAGGCTGATTTCTCATTGAGTAAGACTTTCTGTAAAACCAGAAATGCTGGGCTCTGTTTTTGCCAAGTCTGACAGGATCTGCACTGATAGTGATGCTCGCCTCTCCCTGTTCTGACTGAGTCAGAGCAGAATTTTGTCATCCAATCTGTCGTTGCATGTGCTTCCTTTCAAGCCGGACAGGGAGGAGAATAAACCCAACAATGGCATGCCTGAAGTTCTTGTGCTCCACTACACTCAACTGCATTGTTTTTTACAACACCCAGCTGGGTGAATGACAGTGACAACAAAACTGGCTAAAGCAGGAAATCATCTGGCTGGCTATCTAAACTAAGGACAAGCATAGACAGTGCATGAGGCCTGGAACCAAAAGTGAGCCAGTGTCTGTTTAGAAACAGGTTAGGAAATCAAAAAAACCCGTTGAAAATGACTTTCATGCTGCCACGTTTTCCCTCATGACATTGTTTATTCTTGGATTTTTTAAATCTGGGTCTATTTACTCCACCTCTGTGTTTGTGATCATGACTCCCCTCTATTTAAAGACAACACCCCCTGTGGAGATCAGGTTTCAGGAGTCAGCTGGAGGATACAGTTATGCCGGCGCAACACCCATTTAGCCCTCCTATTTTAAACCCCTCCTTTTAATGGCATCTTCAGCATTAATGTGTCACTCGTGTCCCCTGCTGCTCTGAAGGAAAAATATGCGTTTCGTAAATGTAAGGGTTTGGTTTTAAGTCATGATGACATAAATAGCAGTGGCGCCTGCAAAAAATATTTAGTGGGAGGGGCAGATAGGGCCAGTGAAACTCTTGGTGTGGCACATTAAAAAGGCTTTACAGTACAGAGGAATTTCAGGCTACACCAGTTAGTGGAAAGCTAAAGATGCAATATTTTAATGTAAAATAAATTCCATACTGTTTACCTCCTTGGCTGATCTCATGTGAACATAAGGTTATGATATTCACATGAGATCAGTCAAGGAATGATTAATTTTAAGTTCCAATTTAATAAATAGGGTCGTTTTTGCTGCATTTTGACAGATGTTCTCATACAAATGATCTCCACTGATAACTGACCTCTTTGCTGTAATGTAACAACTTTGTTCCCTTATTATCTGTGCACAGGCTGCAGAGATGAGGAACAAGGAACTGGAGGGGACAATAGAGGGTCTTCAGATGGACATAAACAACACTCGAAAAAAGCAGGGCAACATGAAGGTCGAGCTGAAGAAGTTCATGGATATTCTGGATGGAAAAATAGATGAGCTGCATGAGGTCAGGCAGGGGCTTTCAAAGCTAGGCGTTGATAACTGAGAAACATTGCACTGAGCTGAAAGGGTCAGAGGACAGGTACGAAGAATACACTACAGTTTGTCTTCACCTACTTCCCCAAGGTGATGTCCACTCAAACTACCCACTTTGGCTTCTAATAAACACTACCATGTGAGGAAGATGTTTTGGAGAGGGAGAGAAAGAGAGACTGGCAGACTATGAGGAGGAAGGCCAGCATGCTCCACCAAATGGCTCCACTGTGTACGCTGGCATACTGAAACTAAATCAAAAGTCACATTTTGAGCTTACTTATCCGTTTCTGTGGGGGGAAACGGCTTTAAAAAGCTGGTGGCGGGTTCTTTGATTCTGTCCATCTTTCTTTTTCTACAGGCAGTCTGAGCTTAGAGTAGAACAGGGGACTTAAAAGGGCTAAAATGAGCAACACATGAAGACAATGCTGTTCAGCATCACTCAAGTAATAATTGGTGTCACTCCTTGTGGGTCCCCTCAGAAAATTGGGAGATAAAACCTTTCCACAGACTGCCCCCGTTGTTGCCTCTCGTCTATCTCAGGTGTGTTTGAAGACGGTTTATACGCATTAGATTATATGCACATGTAAAATGGCCGGGACACAAAGTGCCTCCAGGTGAGTCTAAATCTACCTGGCAAGGAGAACTGGCCAAGTGATGACCATCACCATAATAATAACTTGATGGTTTTTGTGTGGAAAAATACACATCTTTGCTATTGAAATGAGATGAAAAGAAAATGCAAGCAGGCAAGCCCATCCCACGGATGTTACTATACTTAATGGATGTTAATTTGGTGAGAAACTCAAAGGACAAAACAGGCATTTGCACAAAAACTACTCTGTTATTTTAGATAGTATTTGTATAAGGAAAGAAAAACACTGTCAGCTTTTCTTCAGAAGCATCCAAAAATAAAAATAGGAACCCCATCATGCAATTAGGTTTAAAGGACTTTGTGTGTGCAACATTGTTGTCCATTTATAGAACAAAGACGTATGTCTCCAAAGCTGCTGATGTGCTTCCCACATACTAGTTTTTCTTACGGTGGTGGAGATTTTTGGGTGATGGGACTTGGTGCTGCTTGATGGCTAAATCATGCGAAAGTGTACTTCACTGAAAACATTTAGATGGCAAGGGCCTTTTCACTAAAACCTATAATCAGATTCTTGTTTTTTTGTTTTGCAAATTTATTTATTTTTGGTGCTTCTTTGCAACTACTGTTTCTAGAACACAAATAAATCAGCATAACTTTAACCTAATGTCTCCACAGATGTACAGTGATATATAGAATGTACCAAACTGACAGGGTTCAAATGTTTTATAAGGGAGGATGTGTTTTCAGTGTGGCACAGACGCCATCTTGAAACATCAGAGGCACATTGTAGGGGCATATTTACTGGGTAATGCTATGATGTTATAAATCTATATTTTCCATTACTGTTTTGATGTTGCCATAAGATTGAGATATGTATGAGGAGACTTTTTGCTTAATGTTCTCTTTCTGTTTAGCCCTACTGTTCATACATCACCTAAACAAATGATCCTTCAATTTGAACCAATGCCTCTTGTGCACTTTTGTGACTCCTGATCAATACTGTACAATAGAACTGACAATTGTTAAAATTTAGTTTAACTAAAACACTGAGTCTTTTTTCCTTTAGTTCAACTAGTGCACCACATTTTTGCAAGAGCTCCACAAAGAGGACACGGGTGGTTTCTCTAATCCCCACATAGTTGCAAATTTAGCATTATGGTTTCTGTGTAGAAAACGAAGGCACCGTTAAAGCTTACAAGTGCACTGCCTGACATCGTGAAAGTCCTGAGGCGGTTCTCCTGAATGATAAGCTCAGAGGAGGAGGTGGAGTGAACCTCCAGTGCCAGAGCCGCATCCTGTCGAGTGCTTAAGCTCCGCCACCGCACGTCTTTCTGTCTACTGCTGTTTTACATAGGACTAAATATAACTGTAATTCTGCCACAGATGCACAAAACTAAAGTTAATGAGGTGGGATTTAATCGCAGTCACTAACACATCAATTTCTCTTAGACCAGAAAAAAAAAGCAAACACAACAGCTTGATTCAAGGACGGGGAAATCCTTCAATTCTAACATCCTCACAGCACTGGGGAAGTAACTGCAGATCTGTGGATCATATATGTTGGCTTGGCAACTAAATCCCACTCACTCCTCTTCTGCAAGTAACAGTGTGAATGATGTGAGACTATGAAAAGTACAGGTCCAGTGCTACCTTCCATCAGTTAATTTGTCAGTTACACAGCTACGGAGACTCCCGGAAGCTGGTCTCCCTTAACTTTCATTTTCACCTTCCAGAAATGATCATTTAGGCTAACTAACCAATTAAGTTGATAGAAAAATTGTAGTACAGCAGCTCTCAATTATTTTCACTCAATCTGTATTTTTTTTTTGATTAATCAGAATTGTTTAGTCTATAAAATGTAAAAACATCTATCATGAGAATATTATATTCTGAAAGGGTTTTTTGTCCAGTAACAGCACAGAATCAAAACGATTTAATTTGCAATGAAATCAAACATAAAAGTGGCAGGTTTCCACAACTGAAAAGCTGGAACCACACAATGTTTTGCATATTTGGTTGATAAAGGGACAGCTGATCAACTGTTAAACTTATAGGTGATTAATTTTGCGAATGTTTCCTGGTTCCGACTTTGTCAGAAGCCTCTTTCCTTTTCATATGGAAAAGTACCTGATTAATCAATTAGTCATCTGGCCAAAAAATAAACGATAACAATTCCATTTCTTTGATTCATTCAATCATTTGGAGCAGCCATGTTTTCTGTTTCTAGTTTTTCAAATGTAAAAATTTCTCATGATGCTAAACAACTTTAGGTTTTGAAGTTTTAGTGAAACAAAAAAGTAATGTGAAGGTATTACTTTGGACAATCTAGATGAATCCATAATCATCATTGTTAGCTGCAGTTTTACTGAATACCTTTGGTAGAAATTAATAACTGTTTGTACAATACAAACTAAACTCACTGGAGAGTCTGGGCAGAGAATCAGTGATTCCCATACTTTTCATCTAGCACCACCAGCAGGTCATTAAAACAAAACTGCCCAAGACATTGGTTTATATCTGTAAAACATTCCCATTCACCTCAGCTGTACTTTGTGCTAATTAGTAAATAAAGCTAATATGCTTAAATCTGATAGTTAACATAATACCTGCTAAATACCAGAATGTTAACGTGTCACTGTGCGCATGTTAGCATACTGACATTAACATTTAGTTTAAAGCACAGCTTCACGAAGCTGCCAAGTCTTATAATTTTGGCATATATTAAATTGTATCCCATATTTGACTCTTGGAAAAAAAAACTGCTCTGGGGCTCATCCTTTTGAGGACATTCTTTATATTAAATGATAAAGGAATGACTGAAAACTAAGTTAAACAATTAAAACAATCCTTACTTGTCTTACATCAACTAGCACATAATTCAATACAGAGTTGCATCATTTCTCTCTGTCCCCTCTGCTGTTCATCGCTGTCTCTTTAATTCTCTCAGCAAGGCTCGTTGTGTGACTGGTGATGAGTGGGCGAGTTGGTGAAACATTACGAGACTATGCTGCCCTGTTCAGAGAGAGAGAGAGATGCTACTGCAGGCCACTACCACTGAGACTCCTTGTTACTATAGTAACAGGCTGTGGAATTTCATGTTGACACTTGGGCTTCGTTTAAAGACCCGCCATGTGTATCTGACATGGCCCCCCCCGATGTGCATGACCTCTCTTGCACCAGAAGCATCTGGATGTTAGTGTGGTGGTGGTGGCCCTGCAAACAAGATGATGTTCAAAAGCAATCAGATCTGCCTCTGCTGGAGGCAGCTCTCCAAGCACACAGAGCAGCATAAATTTGATCGCAACCGGCTGAGGACGTCTGAGCTGTCACTGCAGGAAAGATACGTGCGCGAGACAACTGCCAAGATTGATATTATAATATGACTCACTGTCATGTGGGCTACAAAGCCACCAAAGCGCGCGCACTCACTGGGGTTCAGGTTGATAAGACACCTCTTTTGATGGTATGACTCATTTATAGAACAGGAGGTTTTGTTACAGCCCAGATGCAGCTAACCTGTGGAGATCAGGGAACAGCATGAGCAACAAGCAAAAAAAACCTCAATTCTCAATTTAAAAGAAATCAAACATTTCATGTTTATGAGCTTACGTCTTGATTTATTATTACACCACAGCAGTACAAGTGCTTCAGCCATCATCAGCCCACAGTGTCTCTAACACACTGGAGTAAGTTTAATATCTTTGCAGAATCGGAAGTACAGCAATTAATACCTTTGGCAAACCAGTTAATCCTTTTTGCCATACAGTAGTGTAGTTTTTGTGCACAATAATCTTGTCTTTGTGTGAGGTTCAGGTAAATGAAGTGCTCTGCATTACGGGTTCAAAGGTCATAAGTATGACGTTCGCACTACACAACATTAAGCAAGAGCATTATGCGTAACTTCATATTTAAGAGAAGTACTGGTTATTAAAATGAATCTAGCATTCTTTAATTGCCACCTCATTTGTTATGGCATCATAGAGAAATAACAGGTTATATAAAGTATAAATTGCACCTAAATTAATCCAACACATCAGACTCAAAAACAGAAACAGAGGAGTGTGTCACGCAGACTGTAAAACAACCACGCAGAGTTTAGACATCCTGATTCTGTCACTTGCTGGTTAGTTGGGTTTGAACAGTTTTAGATGTATTTAACATCTCAGAGCTACTTGAAGAAGACGCGTGATTATTGTCTGACAGAGTCAACAAGCCGCAATGTTTAAGTCAGAAGAGGCGTAATCCTGTGCTTTCCAGAGAAGAAGCTTTCTGGTGAAAATGTGACAACAACATAAGCTGTAGCTCAGAACCATGAAGAAAACAGAGCAGGGATAATATAACAGAACAGCTATATCGGTGTGTTCTCAGCTGTCCCAGTCTGTGTTCTGCGTCTCCTCGTCCTCTCGGTCCTCCTCGTCAGAGTCGGACGCCACCTTCTTCATCCTCATCATGGCAGCTTTGATGCTGCGCTCCAGCTCATTGTCTCCAGTGCTTGGGACTTCTGCACGTCCAGGAACCACCTGTAGCGCAACAAGACTCCATTTAATACAGTTTTCACTCAGGTTCAGTGTTGCCCCATGCAGTTAAAATCAACAGACCTTTTTTCACAGAAGGCAATTTGACTTCATTCTGATGTCAGAGCAGGAAAAGGCACAGGCGTAGCTATTAACATTAATAATGGCTCAGTTCCACGTAGATGCTCCAGAGCCAGCATGTGCAGTGCCGAGAGAAAATCATTACAGCCTTAAAATCTTTACCTTCTGTCACATCGCTCCAATGGTGGAAGAAGTACTCAGATCCTACACTTAAGTAATAGTAGCAATACAACAGTGTAAAAATACTCTGTTACAAGTACAAGTCCTGCACTCAAAATGTTAAGAGTACAAAACTATTAGTATCAAAACATACTTGAAGTACTAAAAGTAAAAGTACTCATGCAGAATGTAACATTTAACACTAATGTACATCTTATTACTGGATTATAATTACTGATGCATTATTGTGTACATTACATTTGAAGCACCCATGGCATGCTTTTCCTTGTTTGTTGACTTATCTACAATGTTACAACGATGAATTATCATCTTAGACGTGACCTAAAGCTCAAAAAAACGAGGTGTACGTTCTACTACTTCTATGCAGAAGCAAATTGGTTTATACACGTCTCTCAAACTCTCGCTCATGAGACTTTTTTTTTTTTCCCTAACAAAATAAAATATTGGATGATAGTTTAAGGATCTCCTTAAACTCTGCCTGGTCATAATCACCAGGCAGTTTTGTGTTCATGGAGCTACTTGAAAGGGAGTGATGCTTCCACTACATGGTGGGACTTAACGGTAAGTTTAAAAAAACACACGTTACATGTCTGTTAATGCCTTGTTTCTGTAACGTTAGACAGAATTGTTTTGTAAGTTACTATGTCTGCATTATGCCAGTTAAAATATGGGGTTTCTCAATTACCTGCTTTGTTTAGAGTGTTACACATCCCTTTTCATTGGTACATATACCATTGTTTACCTATCTATGAAAGAGAAATTCAAATGAAATAATGGCATTGCTGTTCATTGTGCTGTCCACTTTCAACAGCAGGAGTTGTGCACGTTCACAAACTATCCGCTCGTTTTTAGGAAGAGGCTCTCTGGTCTAATCTAGACCCAAGATGAAATATTAAGTGGCTGAAAATTAGCGAAATGCCAAAATGCCAAGGGCCCTTTAATGTTGCAGCTGGTAAAGGGGGGCTAGTTTTAACTATCCTATATTCTTATAATGTGAATTACTTCTGGGTAGGAAGGGAATTTTCCATAGATTAATAAAGTATTATGATTTTTTATATTAATCTGGTTTTGAAAAGTAACAACATTTATAAATTAAATGTAATTAAGTATAAAGTAAGTAAAATATTAGCTTTTTCATGCTGTATTTAACAACAATAAAAGTAAAATACAATTTTTAAAAAGTCTAAATAATTCTTAAAATGACAGGATATTGATCATGTAGCTTCCCTGAAAAACAATGTAGTCTAATGTCCTTCAGTAGCCAAGTCAGAACCCTGACCTAAATATCAATGAACCTGAACATTCTACAAAGGAAAGATGAACAAACATTCCCCAATGTAGCCACGCAACACTATCAGAGACGTATCCAAACAGACTGATAGCAGAAATTAAAGCAAACTGTAACTCTGTAACACAGAGTACAATAAGGGTAATTGAGGGCACTATCTAATCCCTTTTATTCTTGTTTTTTACTTTTACATTTTCAAAATTTATGCTTTTTATACTTTAATATTGTGAAGCAAATGTAAATCAAGGTAGAAAATGATTTTTAAATGAATTTGAGATCAGGCTGTAAGACAAAGAGGTGATTAATTCAGAGGTTATGATGATTTTCTATAGGTTCTCTGCTGTCCTGACTGATAAATCAGTCTAGCTCTAGGCTCTGCCATGTTCTCCATTCTTGTACAACAGCTCACCTTCCTCAGGGTGACTCCCTGTCGGATGGCAGACATCAGGGTGCTCCTCGGGTCCTCATCTGGGTGCTTCGTCCTGGGGGTGGGGACGTTCCGAAGTCGAATCTGTCCACGTTGCAATGAGGCCAGCACTTCATCCATTGTTCCTAAAGACATTAATAAATGAAAACAGATGCTGTTACCTTAACAGAAGAAGGTGCACTGAAGTAATGACTTCATTGTTGGCATTTTTGCAGTTGTTTTTAATTTCACCATTTATGAAGCATCTAAACATTTGTGCATGATCTTTAAGCATTTTCTAAAACAGATTCCTCTTGTATAACCTCCATTTCACAACAGCTCAGAAAAATAAAGTCGTTTAGGACATTACTGTCGCCCTGGAGCTGAGAGCGTGCATCAGCAGGACCACAAATGAGGTAAAATGCCCCTTCTGCCCTCATGGGGAAAGCTGGGAATTCAGGACAGAACACTATGTCCAGGCGCACACACACGCTCGCTCTCTAAACACACTTCTCTCTGAAACAAACAAGCATGACCTTCCCTGCGGTCGGACAAATTCACACATCCTATTCCATGTACTGTGCTTTTGTCTAGCAAATGGACATCAAAATGTTTTCCCCAAACCCACCATTTATTACAGGCATGTAAAAAAAAAAAAAGGTGAATTATATTGAATGCATTTCACTCTCACCTATATTTTGTTTGAGCATGTTCTTGGCTGGAAAAGGAGGTTCCTCTTTCTCACTGAGGGCCATTGGTGTGTCCTCAGAAGACGCTTGGACAGGCGGAGGAGGTACAGCAGGTGGTGGTGGAGGAGGAGGAGGAGGAAGAGGTGGTGGTGGTGGTGGTGCAGTAGGGATATTTGTAGCTGGAGGTGGCGGTGCAGAGTAGATTTGGATAGAGATGTCTTTAGACTGCTTTTTTTTGGATGTTTTATTGTGTCTGGGTGCAAGATGGACAGAGGAGGACGGTCCTCCAGAGGGAGAGGGGCTGAGGCTGATGATGGACAACGGCTGGGAGGGACATGGGACTTCTGCAGGACACATCCTGGACTGAGGGGTCTTCAAGATGTACTGACCTTGACGCTTCTTGAAAAAGATGGTAAAAGAGGGGGAAAAAGGTTTTGGAAACAAGAACACAGTCTTGTCTTATGTTCTGACAGAGACGACAAAGAAACATGACTCCCACAGAATCGTCTAGTGTTCTTGAACAATGATGCTCTAATGTTTTAAATTTAGCTACTAGCTTGTTTAAACTACTGATTTCAGTAATGAGTTGTTCTACTGCTCCCATGGTTTCCAGCTACATTTTTGGAAACTTGCTTCATAATTTCCTCTTTAACTTAAGGCCAATGCAATTTGTCACTATGTATATGGGATATAAGGAAAGTGTTTGTTGCTGCAGTTGTTAAGTATCTGCTTGTTATATCATCAGTGACGTGTATCAGCAGCACATCAGTGGCATGTTAGAATGTATGTTGGTAAATTTGCAAACAGAATAACAAAATCAATAAGGTACAACACACAAGTTGGCAGTGAAGCGGATTAGAGCGGATGGAAGTCTGGAGTTGTTATGAACAATAGATTCATTGCTCGACTGTGAAACATTTTGACACCAGAACATCTTTGTCACAAGTCTCTATTATCTAAATATGAGGGATCTGAGTTAAAACTGCTGTGTGCTACTTGATGTCATTAGCTTTGACACCAAACCATGCACAATTTAAAACTTTTATTGTGTAAGACTGTTCACTATTACAAAACGCGTCCACAAGCAGAGCACCTGGTCGTCAGAACGTCCTCTAATGTGGGAGTTGTGTAGCTATAAGTGAATTTGCATTTTGAGGTGAATAATGAATTAAGCAGGTATGAAGCAGAAGCCTCTGGGGTTTTATTAACAAAAGGGGAATTGCAGAAAGATGTGGAGCAGAGCCTGACCTCTCTGAAGGATCGTAATCTGCTCAGAGTCTTCTCTCGCTCCTGGTCCAACCACTGTTTCCTCCTCTGCTCCTCCTCTTTCCTCATCTCTCGTTTCTGTAAACAACAGAGGGAGACAGTGAGAGGTCCCTGTTTCATTTACGGCTTTTGATGGTGTGGGAGCATCTCTGTGGGTGGTCTTGTTGCCGTGGTGACATACCAGGTGGACCTGATGATGCTGGCTGAAGAGTTCTAAGCTCTGCTTAGCGGCCGACTGCTTCTGCTCATGGGCATCCATGCACTGATCCTAAAAAGACACAAAGATTAATACAGATACGTATGCTCAAAAATACATTAAAGAAACAACTTCAGTTTGACACTGCCAAAAATTAATGGGTGCTTGGGCAAATATGTCCTTTGAAGTTGAGAAAGTCAGTGAAACTGATAATGAGCAGCAAATAATGCCTCAATTAGTAGAGCACTTTATTTCACATTGTTCCTTTTATTTTTACTGCACTGCTAAATATTTCTGCATGTGACTCTTGTTCCCTGTGGATTACTACACAGTTGTGGGAACCTCTAACGAGGCGATTCTTCCCACTTCGTTCTGCTAATAACATTTTTTAATGAGACAAATGAGCATACAGCAAACACAGAGAGAAAATGCCAACTGTACCAGCTGTACTAAAATTATTCTGTCAGCTAAATGAAAAACAATATACTGCAGAAAAAAAAAACAATTAAAAAACTGACATATTGGGACTGTTAAGAGTGTAAGGAAAATGGCACCATCTTCTTTCATTCATTTCATTTATAACTACTTTCAATCTACAATTCACAGGTCAAAATGTTTGCCCATTAAAGGTTATTTTTTTAATGGGACAGAGAACATCTTCTGAAAATAACTGAATGTCGATGGTGCCACTGGCCCACACCTTTTTGTTGCGGAGATACGCTCGCCGGGCACAGATGTTGCCTCTCTTGGTCTCCAAGGTCTGTAGCTGCCTTTTGAGCTGACGGACAGCTGGAGCGTCTGCTTGTTGAGCAGCTGTGTGGACGATGCTCTGCAGCTCCTCTGGATCCTCGCACACATCGTAGTACACCACCTCCTCCTTCAGTTCTGAAACACAAATGCAGTCCAGTGGCTCCGACAATTCTTTACCAGGTACTCGTACACCTTCTACAATTTCAAAGAGCACTACAACAATAACAGATCGCATAAATCAGAGCACAGCGTGGCCTGGCTCTCACCTTAATATCAACCATAGCTCTCATGTACTGTAGGTTACATGCATACTGAAATCTCATTATTCCCTGTTTTGGTGGACATTCCTGCAGGTAATTCAGTGTCCATTATCAGGTTAAGCAGTTAAGAGAAATTTGATTAAGACAGGTAGATTTCTCTATATATTAAAGAAGAAATAAAGTATACTATATAATTGTGGTCATTTTCACCTGGAAGTAGATTTCTAATAAGATACCTAATCTATTGCATGAAAAAGTCCTTGCTCACTGATGAGCAGAATATTTATTTATTCAACAGCCTACTTTGATTCACTACATCTCTTTGTTTTCTGTCCTTCTTCTCCCTTTACTTGACAGCAACTGGTAGAGGGCACCTTCTTATTTGGCAGCTGGGAAAATAAACCTGAAACCATTCAAGGTGAGGATACACACAGTCAAAGTCACCATGGACACAGACAGGTAGACACACAGCTTGGAAGCAAACATCTCATGTCCCAGGAGGAGTAATTAGGGAAATATTTACGTGAACAAAATATTTCCCTTAAGTAAAGCCCATGTGCACTATACAGAATGACCAGAAAAACAGAACCCCCTGCACAATCTTAATGTGATCCAATGCAACATTCCTTTAATTAATATGTGAAACAGTCTAACGTATAATTGACACTGTGTCAGGAGAGTGTTGATTCAGTTCTACTTATGTAGCCAAAAAATGTGCCATGTCACTGAGCCAAAATAAAAACACACGAGCATTTGAAAGGGTACAATCACTAAATTAAAGCTGAAATAAAAGTTAAAACGTATTCCTCATTATCTGTCTATCTATCTCATAACCTTCATAAAGATGGGGTTTACACTTGTTTTCAAACTATGAGGTGCATCTCCCCAGAGGCCTGTGGCAGAGTTGCACTGGGGGAATGGAAGGAAAGATGTAGAAAAGACAGGGATGGGTGTATGCAGGTGTTTTACAAACAACAGGAAGTTATCGTAATTTGGCTACTTGTATGTTCCCCTCCCTCAACACAGTCAGCAGGTGGAGCAGCAGCAGTGGCTACAGCTCACAGCTCATGGAGGCAATTAAAAGACTTTAATACCATTAATGTCCAATTGCCACAATTTGCATCGAAATCACCTCTGAGTCATAACTCAGTCAAATCTAAAGACGAACACGGTGACTTACACTCAGGGAATATCTTTATCTTTGAAGTCTATTGTGAGTAAACATCTATAAGTCCACTTAGAAATAAGTGCAGATACTCCTCAACATCATCACATTTAGAAATTTCCTTTATCCAAATAACCCAGTGATAGTCATCTGTATCCAGAGGTAAAAGCTACCAATAGCTAATTTAGCATACCGTACCTTTTAATGGTGCCAATTTGCCAAAATCTGATCAAAATATAGGCAAAAAAAAAAAAAAAAGTTCAAATTGTGGCTTAGGTTACTTTTAGGTATGCTAGTATTTATGGTACTGCCTTATTCACAGGTTGCTATTTGTGCAGTTTTTTACTGCAGCAATTTGTGTGAGAACCTTTAGATTCCGCTACCAGTCATACGATGTGAGGCAACCTTGAGCCTTTTCTCTCTACGTCACAATTTGTACTTAAAAATTCTGATATTCTTAAAAAGAAACTTATTAAATACACAGTGCTACAAATACCTTAAAATCATTGTTGCTAGACTGTACAAAGTTTGCTCAAAAGATGGTGCGTTTAAAATGCACAGTAAGTGTACCTTTGATCCGCCGTCGCAGGGTGTCTATCTGAGCCACCAGCAGCTGTTCCTCACTTTTCAGGATCTCAAACTTAGTGTCGTACAGTTCTAGCTGGGTTTCATAGAACTGCAGCTCCAGCTGGTCCACTGTGTCCTGCTGCTGGCTGTCCTCAGACGCTCCTTGGCTCTGGACTCGGTCAGGCAGGCTGCCGAGCTGCACCACAACAACAGAAAAGTATCAAGTCAGCTCTATTAGGGGCTCATACTGGTGGCTCTGTACTGTATGTAACAGTCTGTTAGGCCCATACTTATCATCTTCTAAATCACACCAAACATTCTGATTGAGTCAACTGCTGGTTTCCATTTATTTCACTGGGCAGATAATCTTAACTTGCAGAAATGTACAAGTTGGTGCACTAATCTCTGGTTACAAGAAAGGACCATATAAAAACAAAAACTGTACTTGTTGTTCAAAGACACCTGCAAAGTAGTTTAGTAATGTTAAGTATGCTTGATATGTAGTTAAGGAGCTGACACATGTCACAGCGTGACACCTTCACAGTTTATGTTCTGAATGTCTGCAGACATACTGGCACACTCGACAGTGCCACCGAGTTATATTGTCACCAGTGCAATGTTTTGTGTGGGTGGAGCTTAGTGATCTCTTTATAAACCCTCACACACAGCTGTCTCTGTTAAGGCTGATGTTAATTTCACAGTGGGAGATACTGCCAGAATCTTGATATCTGATTTTTGAAGAGCTTAATCAGGTGAATAATGCAGCCACATGAAGGTGAAGGTATTCTCAGTTCTCTTCCAAAAAACTCAAAATGTGTAGTACGATACCCCACAGCAGCAAGTCATTCACTTCAGTTTTCCCAAAACACTGCGATCCTGACATTAGAAATGTACCCCTGCAGCCACAGATATGCATAGTGCCAGCATGTTTTGCATATGCATATACACACAGACATGCTCACTTATTCATTCATGCATGCAGGTTTGGTGGTATCTCAAGGGGATTCTCTATGTTTTTAGGGAGGCTTTATAAATAGATCAAAGGACTATAGCAGCCAGAGGTTCACATCAAACTGGATTACCAAGAGAAAGATAAAGTAGACAAGTAGGCATTGTGTCACATCTCTACAGATTTATAGCATCTACAAAAGCAGTGTTGGCCTTGGCACTGAGAACAACAACTAAAGCGTTACAACTGTGTCCAACGCACCATTATGGGATATACTGGCTAATTACAAAACCGCTAAAAAAGGTGTTGTTTATATTAATCAGAAATCTGTGGGACACACACCCCTTCTTTGATGCTGTCCTTCCTGCGATTGAGGCACATCTCTGTAGCTCTCATATGCTGCAGCGTTTCTTTGGCCAACAGGAAGCGTAGTTTCTCCAGTCTGGGAGCTGCAGAAGCCCAGGCAGCAGCTCCGAAACGGCGCTTATCTTCCTCCATCTGCTTTACCATACCTGTACAGGAACACAAGGGCCTGTTATCCATACCGCACAAAATCATATGGAGTATATATATTAACAAAAGGAAACCACCCATTAATACTTTTACAAAGTTAGATGTAAACAATTTGTTCAAGAAATTCCAGGAGCTGTTGTAAGTTCTTGCATGTGTACCTCCTACAATTCCCAGAATGCTTTTCAACAAACCCCAAAGAATAAAGAGTTACTTTAAATTGAAAGTGGGTCTGTCAGCACAGAAATACAACGGCCTGACAACAAATGCATATGATTCGAATTGAGATGTTTCCTAACACCTAATTGAAACGATGGCTGCCAAACAATTAAAAAATTAAAACTAAATGAAGGAAGGGCAGTAAAGTCCTTCTATAATCCTGTGTTTTTCCTGCCATTGTGAATTTAGCAATTTTCATGTAATTATTTTTTCATTATTTACTGCCTGTGCCTCAAAATATCAGATGAAAAAAAAAATTTAGTTTGGTCTCTGATTATTGGAAGATTCAATAACATACTGTATATCTGTAATCGGCTGCTTGTCTGCAGTTTGTGACTCTGCAGCACTTTTTTCCTGTGCTGAGGAACGACACATAAAGAACATTCATTAATTCATCTACACGTAAGAAAGAGAAATAAACACAGCAACTTATACCAGCCAGAGCCTTGGAGGTCTGTGCAAAGTAGGTGACAGTGATGTCTTGAATTGAGGCGACTGCATCTCCTGCTTTCATTGTCCACTCCTCTGCCTCCTTCTCCAGAGCTGCGATTCTCTTAGGACCCAAATCCTCAAACTCCAAAGACTTCTGCAGATGGGAAGCAAAACAGTGAACAACTTAATATACTGAGTCACTTAATATACATTTCTTACACCTACTTATTCCACACACATACACATTCTGCTTTTACTCAAACTTAGTTTAGTGAGAAGATAAAATTAAACATCACATTTTACTTGAATGGTGCATAAAAATACTGAACTGTGTCAATCCCTCCATCGCCACTGTGTGGACAGTCGAGTGAACTGGAACCTAGAGTAATCACTGATTGAAATAAAGTATATGCATATATTTGATTTTCCCAAAGAAAGAAAGCCACAGGTTAGTGGCCACAGAGCCATACTAGGAGGAAGACGATGTTTAATGCAAGCATATAATACAAGAACTGTTTGAAATATGTTCTGGGGATGTAAATGTGAATTTTCATTAAATTTGGTAGAATGTGACTGCAGACCTCTGCTTTAAGATAAGAAAATTGCAAAAGCTCCCTTTTAATTTTTGCTGAACAGCTTAATAATGCCTGAATTGAATGACACCAAAACAGCTCCCAATCTGCATCCTCTCTTACCACATCCAAAAATTCCCACAGCTGCTGAACATACATACACACATATATATATATACAGTATACACACACACACACACACACACACACACACACACCAGGATGTCCATCTTATAGAGGCATGCCAGCTCTCTCAGGTCCCTGAAAGGCTGCAGCAGATAATGGAAGAAAGTGGTGGCCACAGTGACCAAGTCCTTGTAGGCCTCATCCTCTTCCTCATAGATGCTGAGCAGCACAACCATCCGGTCGGCATTGCTGTGACTCTGCAGCAGCTGTAAATATGAAAGACATACACACTATTAAATGAATTTATATGAAACCCACAGCCTAGCTTTTGCTCTCCACAGCTATTCATATCTCATAATCAAATGAGTCCTTTCCTACAACTTTCATAACTGAGGTTCCAGAGTTCAGAGGGTCAATATCGTTGCATTAATTTCTCAACTCAAATCTTTGGACTTTAACTGCAAAGATGTTCTGTTGGCTGTCATTAAATGAAAACCATTTGTCATCGTGTTATTGTGTAACAAGCCAATAAATTATGTTACATTTCTGTGTTTGAATCACATTAATTCAAAAGTATGTTAAAGAAAAGAAATCAGTGCTGGTATTGTTGTAACATGTAGAACTCTGATTATGATGTTTGCTGTGTCATGACAGCCTTCTCCTAGACTTACAGTACCACACCACAGTGTGGTGCTAGCTGTGTTGCAGGGCAATGCTGAAAACTGAACATTCTGAGTGCATCAACAACACTTTCAAAATTTTCTTCTCTGAGTTGTGGCTGCAGTGCAAGAAGGATTAAAAACATGTCAGGGACAAACAAATGCCAAACAATGTGTTTATAAATAGATAGATGAAGCTTGAGTGTGAAACTAACTTTAGCTTGTTTTATCATTGATTATCTGCATCTGTAGTTGAGCAACAATCACAAAATCTTTGGATCTGAAATACAGCTGGGAGTAGTAAAGTGACCAAATGGAAACACTTAAACACTCTATAATAACAAGAGTACAAAGTATAGTGTCCAAAATGAACGTTACTGCAGGTCTGGTGTGGAAGACTTTGTATAGTGTATAGAGTGTATAGCCCTAAGTATGAGGCAGGGTGTGGCTAATTTATTTCCGCCCACACCTGTCGCAGGTGAGCCTTGGCCCTTGACATCTCCTCCTGCATGGCCTTCCTTTTGAACTCCTGTAGATTTTCAAAGTACTCTTCAACACCTCTTTCATCTTGGGCGAATAATATATCGAGAACAATCTTTCGTCCGCAGATATCAATAGCCGCGCTGAGATATTTTTCGAGTTTCCTACAGGGTGTATCAAAATCCTTCTCATCATCTTCGGGCCCTGACCTCCGATTCAGGAAGAGCAAGTCCCAAATGTTGCTTTCTTCAAACTCTGACAAATCTGGAAAGCAGCCTCTCAGGACGTCGGCGACACATGTAAACTGCTGATGGATATGTTTCAGGTCGTTCACAGAAAAGAGTCCAGCCCAGCTCATCTGACTGTCGCTCACGGCAACTTCGGCTTTGCGTTTTTGCCGCTGTAACGTCCGGTTGTGGCAGGTGACGGCAAACTTACTCTCGATAACATTCCACTGAACGATAAAGCCCAGCTTAAACCTTTCGGGTTCTTCAAATATGTTACTTTTAACTGCCACCCACTCCTCCAAACTGTCTAATCGCTCATACTCTGCGTTATTCATCTTAAAAAGAGATGTTTCACTTTGGCCTCCGAGAAGCTGCTGGCACTGTTTACAGCGTCCGCCATTTGTGTGACGTATGGTGCTTTCAATCACATTGAAAAAAAATTCGGAACTATCCTAAAAAAAACAAAACATTGACGATTAGATCCACTGTCAGAATAATTTATCAAATTAACTGAAATAACCATTGATGCACAGGAGATAATGGGCGCCATAGCTTTGTGCGCATTTAGTTACGGTAACTAAGCAGTCACTTTGCTGTCTTTAATTTACTCGGTTTCTGTAATTTTTATTTTATTGTACAATTGTGTGATTTCTGTGTCAAAGAATGACTCGTGAAAAGGTTCCAGCTCCCATATCGATCACTGAGATGTTTTAAAAGGAGATGAAGGAAAACCTCAGATACAGTAATTTCTATTTAGGAGACTTTTGAATTACGACGTCAGATTTTCCGAGGAACACTGAAAGCACCATTATGTCCTCGGTATTGCGTTCAACTTTGACTTTTGAATCACATGTTCGGGGAATTCCACCTCCTAATATCAAATCATTAAACAATGGTGCCACACAACGTGCTCTAATTACAAGTTATTTACGGTGTTAACTAAACCCAGGCCAAAATTGGTCTAAATGTTTTCATTTGACATTTATCAATTTCCTGCATGGATGTTTGACATACCAGTGACATTTGAGCAGTCCCAGTCCCGTCTATTTTTGTCATTGCTGCTGGGTGAACGTTGAACTTTTTATAGAGTTGGTTTGTCGGACACCACTGTTGGCCTGAAATGGTTGTTTAGAGCAGACTGGTTTAATGAATTATCCAGGTAAAGTACAGGCAAGTTGCTTGATTCAAGTATGAGTGTAAATTTGAGATTTAACATGGATTTTTTAGTCGACTAAGCTATTCTGAATGGTAGATTAATACCCTACAGGTCAGTTATGAATAGACAGGGCTGCTTTAAACTGATCTTGCTGCAGAAACCTGAACCATAGATGCATTGTGAACCTCTGTCCTCACACAGTCTCTGTCCCCATGGACCTGTATGAGATCATAGGAGGCAGACTGGATGTGATCGAAGAGGAAGCCGAGCATCAGGAATTAAGCAGAGAGTCGACCACCCGTAAAGCGTGTGAGGACAGCCTTACATCTCCCACTGAGGCAGAAGATGGACATGATATGAGCACTGAGGTGGGCACACTAACACACCTTTAGCCCTTGATTTATCAATGAAATATTTTATATTTTCCTATTTTATTTGACCACTGTTTTGCCCCAAATGGTTTCATATGATTTAAATCATTATTGAAGAGGGTTTTGGTAAAAATTGCAGTTTAAATACAGGCCAAGCTCCCTTAGGAATGTATTATTGGAAAAGAAATGCAAAAACTAGTTTAGTGAGAAAATAAAATAAAACAACATCCACATTTATCCATCTATTTCCCGAAATATGGTGTTACACTTAAGGAATATGGACTAACATCTCTAATTTCAGATTTCTTTGTAACTAGTTACTAGAAGGTGTTTTTTTGTTTTATCTAGCCACAGACATGAGCAGAAAGCCCTGACCATAACGTACAATACAGTAGTTTACAGTATCTTACTGGTTTTCAATTACAAAGAAAGAGTATAAGTGTGACATTCAGCTGCTTTCAGTGTGAGATCGTCATGACCAGGAATCTGCTGCAAGAGAAGGTTGCTGAGATGGAGAACTTTGCCAGTCATCTGGAGGAGATCTTTCTCACTGTGGAGGTAAATGTCACACACCAAAGTTTTTTATTTCAATGAAACAGATTGTTGCAATGTGTTTTAAAATAGATTTATTATTTTATTGACTGTGTGAGCATTTGGGAATGGATGTTTTTAATATTATTTAGTTTTATTGAACTCAAAGAAAGGTATAAAGTTCAATGTATCAGAATTAATTTTTGTAACTGGAAAGTTCATGTGTGTCTCGTGAACTGAAGAATCAGACTCATCCATTTAATTGATTTCCTCTCTTCAACGGCCATCCTCGTCTCATTTTTATGACTCAGCGCTGCCGACAGTCGTGGCTAGAGGCAGTATGTTTTCTTGTTGTCTGTCCGTCTGTCCCATTCTCATGAACATGATCTCTTTGCCTTGAGGGTTTTTTTTTTTCATTTAATACAAGCTTCCGCTTGGAGTTGAGAATAAACTGATTCAAAGGTCAAGGTCACTGTGACCTCATACACATCCCCTTCTTGTGAACTTATTATCTCAGGTGGAGATTTTCCCAAATATAACACATTTCTTCAACATCTTCATTCCATATATTATATGAGCCCAGACACAACTGCAAGCCATTAATTCTAGTTTACATTTGTTTAATGCAAGACTAACATAAATCTCTAAGTCTGCCACCATAATCACATAAATGTATGTACAGGAGAATTTTGGACGTCAGGAGCAGCACTTGGAGCAGCACTACAACGATGTCCTACAGACACTGTCTCACCAATATGATGACAGGGCAGCTGGACTGGAGGAGGAGAAGAAAAGCAAACTGGAAGCTCTGTACACTCAGCTGCTGACTTGTGGCCGGGCATTGGATGCCTCTAAAGACCTCATTGAGATGGCTCAGGAGATCTACCGCTCCCAGGACAAGAGGCTTTTCCTGAAGGTGTCCTAGTGTGTCTGTGTGTGTGTGTGTGTGTGTGTGTGTGTGTGTGTGTGACCAATGTCTTCATAATCTACGATTCCTGATTAGTATTCCACATTTCTTTACTTTGCTGTTGAATTTCTTTCTCCTTTTACTGACAGGCAGTTATGCCCACCATTAAAAGGTAAATAGGATGCTGCTCAGTGAGTATGTCATGTGGTGTGATGCTGCACTGGTGGTGACTGCAGTGAGATTTCAAACACTGAACTGTTAATGGCACGAGGCTAAGCTTGCATTACTTTGTCCAGGTGTTTTTGCCTGTATGTTTAGACTTTAGGTAAACACTTAGAGCAAGAAAGTAAATATTTGGCCTTGGAAAAAGTAATCTGATTTAAAAATCCTTAATCACGGTCCATAGCCACAATAGCCTTTTGCATGAGACAGCAGAGTTTTCATGACATGGTGATAGTCTACATGGCAGCTGAGTAAACACCATTCAATTCAGAAGACCACAGATGTGACTGAAGGCTCAAGTTTTTGAATATATTTCTTTGTCAAACTGAATTACGTTTCGACTGATCCAGATGGCATGGCAGAAACTATTTTACATTTAATGTTAAATCTTAGTATTTACAGCTTTTTGTACTTTCTTTTTGTACTACACTAGAATCGAGGACTTTGCTAAAGAGGAGACTGAACTCTCACTGTCTACGAGTCTTGAGTTTAACACACCACTTGCTGACCTGTCAGATGTCAAAACCATGATGGACACCATCAATGTTGTTCCAGGTCTGATTTACAAACTGCTCCTCTGTTTGTGCTACTTCATACTTCAAGTTCACTACATTTTAGAAGCAAATATTTTACTTTCTACTCCATTATACAGTATTTATTTTGTAACTTTACTAGTTACTTTTGAAAACCAGATCAATAAAAAAACCTACAGTATAATCTTAATAATTTATTAATCTCTGGTGAAAAATTCACATTATAAGAATATAAGCTACTTTAAACTAGCTCCCCCTTCACCAGGTGTAACATTAAATGTGATGAACATAATAATGCATCAGTATTTGTAATCAAATCATATGATATATATTAATTTTATATGTTCCATTCTGCATGATGAATACAGTTAGTACTTTTAAGTATGCTTTGATGTTAATACTTTTGTACTTTTACTTAAGTAACATTTTGAGCGCAGGACTTTTACTTGTAGCAGAGTATTTTTGGACCTTGGTACTGCTACTTTTACCTAAGTAAGGGATCTGAGGACTTCTTTCACCACTGCTTACATTCATAGCACCATCTTTAGTTGCCCTCTCTTCTACACCTTTTGTTCCAGTTTGTGAGTCATGATTTTCTTCTTGGATGCCCTCAGTAGAGGTCAATTACATGTGTCGCCCTTTACACCTTCAGTCACTGAAACGTTTTTACAGATGTTCCTTGTGCCAGGTCAGAAGCATTTACCCTTCTGTTTTTCAATGCCAGGCTGCATAAATCGTGAATTGTGTGTGGCATAATTTTTTGAGGCCAGCCACTCTACCCTTTATTGGTAATGTGGCTCTTCCTGTATCTCCTAACCACTGCTGCAACTGTCAGCTTGTCTACTGATGCCCTTGTACCCTGTCGAAGTCTCCATCTGGTTTTTACTTGTTGAAGCAATCCTTCACCATGTCGGGCCAAGTTGTTAGACAAAGTCCAGACCAAAATTGAGAAAAGACCATGATGAACTTTTCTTTTTCACTGTGTTCCTTTGTTAATCAGAGCATTTTACCTCCCATTCTTTTTCCACCTCAGCACTCATAAGAAGTGTTTTCACTTTAGGACACATGCTAGTTTCTGTGTTTTGACTCCTCTTCTGTATGGAGTTGTAATAAAAAAAAAAAAAAACTCACCATGGTTCTAAACACTCAGCTTGAGCATGTACCAGTAAGAGTTGTTCAACCTAAAACTGGTGGTTGTAGTCTGCTCATTCAAATAGCCTTACCTGGAAACTACAGATGCAACCTCTAGTTACAGTGCTCACAGGTAAACTGACTTTTGTTGCATTGTACTTTTGGGCTTGCATTTTGAATGTAGTCTGTTTTTTTTTTTATTATACATAAGGTCAAATGCCCTACACTTCAATTTATGGATAAACACAGTGATGTCAGTGTGAGCTTTAACTAGAACAAGCTGTCTTAATGTATTGCTTTATATGCCAAACTGCCACTGTACCGAGGTTTTGATGGAAGGACTTGATAATAAAACTGGCTAACAATGTTTCTCCAATATATAAAAAACAGCTCCATCTGCCCCAGTGATCAACCCCCAGATGCCCAACTCTGCCACCCAGACATCCCTGCGTGTGTGCTGGAGCCTGTTCTCAGATGACACGGTTGAATACTACGAGCTGTACTACAGACCGTTGCTGGAGGACACACCAGCAGACAGCAGCAGTGAGCTACATGGTATAACACATAGACACAGACTGCATTCATGTTGCATGACAACACCATCTACTGTTGAAATTGTATCTGTTGATTTCTCTGAAGGATACCGGTGACAGGTTTTGATAAGCATGACCACATTTAATCTGTGCTTCCTTTGCAGTAAGCAAGGTAAAAGTGAAGGAGACCCACTGCACTGTGACAGATCTGCTGCCCAATGCTCAGTATGAGCTTTGGGTGACAGCTACCAACACCACAGGTATCAGTCCAGCGAGCGAGAAGGCCTTGTACATGACAGGTAAGAAATGTCACATTCCTAGACTCATTAAACTTATGACAGTTGAAATAATTGTTCTGTTGTCTCAGGATGCCCCCCTGAGATATCTTTAGATGCATAGTTCTCTATTTTGTTACCTGTCCAGCCTCACATGAGAGAATAAAGTATAAATCCTCTCTCCCCAGTGCCGTCGCCTCCAGTGATCAAGCAAAGGGAGTGTACTAGCTGCCCAGAGGCTGCTCTGATCCGCTGGCAGTCAGGAAACACCAACCCTGTGGACTCTTACACTGTGGAGCTCAGTGAGATGGACACTGATGGCACAGAGAGTGGCATTACTGAGTAAGTACTGTGTTAATACCATACAACTACATTTAAATATGTCTTCCTTGAAACTGTGGGGTTCACCGCCCCCACACATTAAGTTTAACCACAAATGCTCCACTGGATATGCAAAGCTTTGAAGATGTAACACCCTGTGAGATTTGTCTTGGCCTGTCCTTTAGTAAGGCTTTTGGATCAATACATCCATAAACGAGGCGGTTAGTGCTTGCTTGGGGTTTTTGAAGTTTTGTGTTTTAAGAGCTGCTGAATCAAGAAACACACGGTCCTAGAAAATCTATTCTTAGCTTCAACTCCTCCAGTGCTGTTAGGCTCAGCTAAAATATTGTCCTCACATTTGGGGTCACTTTCCTTTTTCTTCTGGTCACGTCAGAGATCAGTAAAGCCATTTGAGTAGTTTGTGTACTGTTTTGCATAGACGAACTTAAACCCTGAAATGGGTCCATGCTCCAAATGGGAGTTCTTGATAACCACCCCTTTTATCCACCTTGAGTTTTAAAAAGTTTATTTCAAGGCTTTACTCTGTTGTGGAGGATTAGAAATACAAGATAATCCACAAGGTTTCATTCTGTGTTTAATATATTTAAAAAGGAAGTGATCTCAATCTTCGGTCTCATTGGTTAATTGCCCAGGTCTATAGTAGCCGTGCCTGCCTGTCAGTGTCTAATCCAGCTGCAGACAGGACGGCGTTACCTCATCTCTGTGAGAGCAGTCAACATTGGTGGGTCCAGCAACAGGAGTGAAGTTATTACTGTCTCCACAACAGGTGAGAAGCATCACAGATCATCTTTCATAGTGCTTTTAACCATCAATGCAAGTATTCAGATCATTTACTTACATAAAAGTAGCAATACTTGTAGCTATTTATAAAAAATATTCCATTAAATGAAGTTTTGAATTCACAATTTAGTACATAAGTATTGTCGACCAAATACTCAAAGTATCAAATGTAAAAGTACCTTTACAAAATAGCCTCTGCCAGTGTTATTTAAGCCCCATCATAGGATGTATATCAATAAGTAATGAGCAGTTCAAAGAGTGATTATCCTGTTTGAATTGAACTCATTTGATTCCTTTAGAACTATTAAATATTTCCACATAAAAACGTGTTGCAGATCGTAACCAAGTACATTTTACTCAGGTACTATACTTCAATACAATTTTGAGATATCTGTACTTTAATTTTGTGCTATTTCATACTTTGACTTCACTACATTTTAGAGGCATAGGCTGTATTTTTTTTACTCCACTACACTTATTTTATAACTTTAGGCACTAGATACTTTTCAGAACCAGATTAATATAAAAATTACAGTATAATCATTAAGACTATTGATCTCTGGTGGGAAATTCACAAGATATGCAGCAGTCATTCAGATTATAAGAATATAAACTGGTTATATTAGTTTTGATACTAATACTTTTGTACTTTTACATAAGTAACATTTTGAATGCAGGACTTTTACTTGTAACAGTGTTTTTACTTAAGTAGACGATGTACTTTTTCCACCTGTTAATAATTTAGTGCCCCTGTAACTATCTGGCAAGCTCTTGGATTCATCTTGTGACCCTTGGGTCAAGGTGGAGTTCGTTTTAACTTCATGCTGTATATTGTTGAGTAGTTAAGGTATCCCAAAACTGTACTGTTCCTTTTTTTATTTCAACCCATTTCTACCATTTGTTCACCTGTGCAGGTACATTCTTCTATCTCCTGGAGGACACTGCCCATCCTTGTCTATCCATCTCTGAAGATGGCTTCACCATATTTTATGGAGATGAGGAGCTGCCAATTACTGCAATGGCCTTAGATGATAACACCTTTACCAGGTAAAGTACATGGTGGCTAAAGATAATTGGAACTTGAGTCTTAAGCTTGATTTTATTCTGCGTTTAATCTACGTGGATGCAGATGTGTAGCAGTCCTGGGGGATTTGATTCCAGTGCGAAGCAGGCATTACTGGGAAGTCAAGGTGGATGACGAGACAGAGTTTAGGATTGGAGTTGCATATCAGGCCACAGAGAGGAACTCATACCTTGGAGCCAACAATACCTCCTGGTGTATGAGGCACATTCTCACTCCCTCCAGGTAACAATGCACCATGTCTGCTGACACAGCGCCACTGTGGAAATAATCCACTTGTTTTGCCTCTGACAGTAGTAGAGATGGGAAACAGGAGGCAAAATGGAGGGGTATGACATGCAACAGTGGAGAAACTGGCTTTGATTTTCAAAGGACTTCACAGACCAAGCAGATGCAGATTTTCCAGCCAATACGACTTGAGAATGATGCAGACTACTGAAGTTCATGGAAAATGGGCCAAGAGTATTTTTAGCCACAATAAATTTTCCTTTCCCAAGCAAATATTTCTGCATCAGCTCAATGCTAAATTAAGCAGACTGGAGGCCCATCGTTAATTATTTTAAGTGTTGCTATGGCAACTCTTCTCGGAATAGAGAACAGTTGAATTGTGATACTCAGCAAAACATTCAGCATAGCCCATCACACAAGCCCTGAATCTGGTTTCCTTTTGTGGGCATCATCTTGATGGTTATACCTGAGTGCAATTTAATGTGCAGACTTATCATTTTCTTTAAGATTCAGTATCTGCTTCAACAATGGCTGAAAGAGTGGGAGCATTATCTCAACAGACTGATAAAAGTTTTGCACATGGCATTTCTTTACTATACAATCAATGTTGCCCTCTATTTTTTAAGGCATAAGTACGAGTTTCTGCACAACGGTTGGAGTCCTGACTTGAGGATTACAGTGAACCCAGTGCGCATAGGAGTAGCACTGGACTACAGTAGAGGGACACTCTCCTTCTTCAATGTGGATCTGGAACAGCATCTACACACCTTCCACTGTCACTTCCAAAATTATGTCCACCCGTGCTTTGGCCTGGACAACCCTGGAGCGCTTACTGTACACAACCGTATAGAGGCCCCTAAGTATGCATTTATCTGACACCAGCAATCATAACTAGTATCACAAAATAAAACCCTAAGGTTGTTAGGGAGTGAAATAACTTGCTATCAATTGTTACCTAAGTTCTGGGTCACAGTCCCAATAAAGAAAACCATAACATTGTGAATATCCAAATTCATAAAAAACACTGATGTTTCTCAGCAGCATAAGATGTGTGGGCAATAAAGGATTTTGTTGCTTTTATTATAGTATTCCATGGGAACAGGCATACACCATTTTCCAAAATAAGAAAAAGTTTCACTGAATTTTACAGTAAGTATACCATCACTAACTGCAGCAGACCAAGTGTTGAAAAGGTAAGAAGGGATTGTTTTTGACTATCAAAATATGCATCAAAAGCTAAACAAGAAAAAAATCAATTTGTAGTTGTAACAATTGGACTCACTTCTGTAAAGGACAAATCCACCCTGCATATTTTTACACTGTTAAAAAGACTACTGCTGATGCGATTTGCTTTTCTGGACCTACTCTCTCTTAGTGGTGTAGATCATTTTTACTTCAACGGAAAATTTAAAAGCCTGGCAACTGCACATTTTAGAGTCAGACCCTTGCAGTAAAAAAAAAAGGTTTCCATTAAGACAGCAACAACATGAGGAAAACTGAAAAGACAAAGACGGTATCCTGAAAATTCTCTCATCATAAGACATACATGTGCAATGACAATGAACTAGTTGGCAAGCTAACTATACTTCTACATTTGCTTTATACATGGGCATACATTTAAATATGTCTTCACTAATCAGTTCACACCTGTTGTGAGGCATTACAGAAAGGCATTCTGGGGATGCATGAAAGAAATGAAAATAAGAAGTACACTACTCAAAACCCACAATAGGACAAATAGCCTTGCAAAGCACCAAACATCTGCAAGAGGCTATACAGTTCATTAAATGTTTTCTTTTTTTTTCTCCAGTCAACTTGTCTCCTATCCAAAAGTGGATCTTAGTACATTAACCGTTACCAGACATTTCAAACCAGGGTCTTAAGGAGATTAAAGAAAAACAATAAATCATCATTGTAGTAAACGGCAAATCACTAGCACAGTCCTAAAACAGTGTCTGACAATGCAAAGGTGGATTTTTCCTTGGATGGGGTTTGAGTTTGAGATTTGTTTTGATATAATAGATGTCGACTTTGGGTCTCTGGGTATCCTGTGGGGGCGGGGCGGGGCGGGGGCAGGTGTTGTGAGCTATGTCTTACTGCTGTGTGTTCTCTCCTCCTCTTCATCGGAGGAATCTCCTCCATAGGGCACTAGCCCTGATGCATCTCTGTCCAATTTAGACCTCTTCTCCAACACCACTACTTGAACACCTGTTAGGGCACAGTAAAAATGGAGAGAGAGAAAAACAAAGGTGGGAGACAAGAGAGAGAGATGGGAGGCAAAGAGAGAGGGGGGAGAGACAAAGCAAGAGAACAAAACAAAAAGGAAACCCATTGAGGAGCCCCATGTTAGCGGTGGTTTTTGAGTTGGTTTGATCCACAGCCAGGGGAGGGAAGATATCAAATGAAACGGCAGCACAGCACATCCATTACAGGCAGGTCCGGGACATGTTGAGAGAGAAAACAAGGGAAAGACAAAAAACATATACAAGAAGAGTGTGTTAGTGGGTTCAACCACTGGAGAGTCACAAAGGTCTCCACTCCTCCCCCATTCCTCCAAGAGGGGAGATGCCATTTCATGCAACAGACAACTCCATGGAAGAAATGTCTCAAAACTCAGGCTCTCAGAATATAAGAAAATAAAAAAAATAAAAAAGCATACCCAATGATGCTGTGCTACTGGGCAGGCTGGCCTGATCATCTGTCACTATTTCTCTTGGCCTTTTGCGTGCAATAGGGACAGGGGCCACAAAGGGAGGTGGTGGTGGCATAAGAAACCTGGAGATTGAAGAGCATCAGTATCTACACCACTAAAGATTGCTGAAGAATAACACATTAAGGAAATGAAATCGATTAAGAGACCTTTCTATGACTTTTTCTTCTCCAACACTGGAGGCAGGAAGCACAGACTCCTGATGAGCAGGATCATCTGGGGAGCAGCTGGTAGGCTGCACAGAAAAGTAAAAAACAACCCCACAAACATTTAATACAAATAAAAACTTGCATATAAAGAAAAGGTATGATCCACAGGGGGGGGCGG